CGCTCCACCCCGGCCCGGAGACCCCCTGGGGACAGCCCCGGCGGGGGGGAGCAGATGCCCCGGGGGACCCTCCCCGCGCAGGTCCCGGAGCAGGGGAGCGAGCCCGGTGCAGCCGCGCGGCTTTGCTAGCGCATCTAGCACGAGCAGCAGGGCAGGGCAGGGCAGGGCAGGGCTGGGCTGGGCTGGGGAGGGATGAAATCCTCCGCCCAGAGCCTCTTCTCCCGCCCCCGGGGCCGGCTGGCCCCGCAGCAGCAGCTCCACTTTGGAGCCGGGGAAGGGGCCCGCGGGCCCCCAACTCTGTGTCGGGGTACAGGGAGCTGTGCAGAGCAGCGAGGGGCCTGGGCTTTCTGCACCTCGCTGGGGGAAGTGGGTTGGGAGGAATCGGAGGGATCGTTTGAGCCAGAAAACATGCTGGTAAGGCTCTGCTTGCCTCTAAACAGACCGGTTTCCAGCCCCGTCTGCCGCTCCGTTTGCAACGACTACCTTTCCTCGCCCTTGGTTTGCATGATCCCTATGGACACTGAGTGTCTTAAATGCTGTATTTATGAATAGCACCCTTTTGTCCAACAGGCCCTTAGTCCCCCTTTCACCACAGGTCATCAAGCTCCTTGTTCCTCCAGCTTTCCAGATCCGGCGCTGCCGTGCTCTGTCGCCGCGTTGGATACTGTCTGTCTCTCTCCACATTTTGACTCGGCTTGGCATAATAGCTAGGAAGTCGAGAGGGTATATTTTTAAAGTGAGGTCTGTCAACAGGGGGACATTTTCTCTTCTCCCACAGAAGGAAATCCTGGATTCATCTCCATCCAGCAGCTAACGTATTTTTGCCTTAGTCATGCAAGCTGTCTCACTTCAAAACTAACCCACCCGTAAGACAAGTCCGTAGCAACAACAGCTGTTGGGCTTGGAAGACAGAAAAGTATATTCAGAAGTAAGGTCAGATGGTGTCTGGTAACACCTGAAAGCCTGAATTCTGTGGGAGAAGAGAAAATGTCCCCCCTGTTGACAGACCTCACTTTAACTATATACCCTCTCAACTTCCTAGCTATTATGCCAAGCCGAGTCAAAATGTGGAGAGAGAGAGAGAGACAGTATCCAACACAGCAACAGAGCATGGCAGCGCTGGATCTGGAAAGCTGGAGGAACAAGAAGCTTTATGACCTGCGGTGGCATTACAGAAGAGACTGGTTTCTGTTGCAGGGCCTTGGAATCAGGCAATCTTTCTTCTATAGCTGCATGGAGGCTTGGTAATCATAGACAACACACTGTTTTGTTACCAAGGTAAACAAGGGAACCAAAAGGGGGAAAATGTAATAAATGAGTGATGTCATATCCTGCTTTCGTAATAAGGCAAACATGACATTAACCCGACACAAACATATTGACCTGATTTCTAAGGTCTATAGGGAGAAGGGTGATAAAAGGTCTCTACTCAAAGAGATGGTGCAATTCTCAAGAGAATTCGTGTATCGAGAGGCATCTGGGAGATGAAATCTATAGAGGTGTTCTAATGAGCTCAATACCCAGGATCAAGGTCAGATTTTCATAGAAGACAGGGATCCTGGGTGCATACTAGATGCTTACCTGTTTTAAAAAGTCTTTCCCTGATTATGGAGAGTAAGCCTTTGGAAAATATAGCCCTAAACTCTATCTGCCATCAGGCTGCTCCATCTCCCACTGGCCCCAGCTGTGGGTATTCAGTATTTGAAAAAAGTGTGGTTCTGATAGCATTTTGGAAGCAATCTCCCCCTCCTTCTCCATGTAGATAAGTGTAAAGTCATGTTAACTGACAAAGAATACCTTCAGGTCATACGTGCTGACTTCCTTTGATTCTGTAAAATCCTTAAAGAGGAAATCTTAAGAGCCTTCAGGAGTAGCTTTAAAAGTAGTAAGTAATTATATAGCTCTTTAAAATCTTCAGGTTGCAAGTATCACTTAACTGACACACATGAGAAAGATAGGATAAAGAAAGTGCGGTCAAGAAATTGTTCATCTTCCTCCTCCCAAAAATGTGAATGTTTTTGTTTCTTTATTATAAATTCAGAATTTCACCTAGCCCTTTCTTGCCAGAAACCTACAAACATAATAAATGCAAAACTACTGTGTTTCAACAAAAAAACCTTTTAAATGGGAAAAACTCAGACATTTTACTCTGTTTTATCAAAAGCAAGTTTTTCCTGAACCACTGCATTTTCAACAAAGCCCCATTTTTTCCCATTAAAATAGTGTAACTGAAAATGTTCAGCCAGCTGTAGGTATGTGTTAATTTCTCGATGCATTCCCAAAGCCTTTAGCAGAAACAATGGGTGTGTACCACCTCTGCCAAATCTTACCTGGTCCTAATCAAGACAACTTCAAAGTGCCACAGCCAGAATTAGAATCCCTGACTTCCTTGTTCCCCCTTCTAGGCATGTTCTGTACACCACGCTGCCTCTCCCAAAGTCTGCCCACTACGGACCTGCAGGAAATATGACAAACAGGATGTCTGATGCATTCAGAATGGCTAGAAAACAATACAGTATCCATCGTAGTGGCATTGTATAAACCAGGAGTGCTGCCCACCCCTGTCATGAGTGCCACAAGTGGCAGCGGCAGCCTCTGTGTGTGGACTGTGACAGATTGGGGAGGGGACAGACAGCACAGCAGCAGGTAGGGTGAAAAGTGGAAAGCAAAGCAGCAGATTGGGTTGGGAGCAGAGGGCAGAACATCAGACTGGGTAGGGGAAGGGGATGAATGTGGCACTTGGGGAGGTTGTGGGATTAATTTGTGACACACCTGCCAAAAAGGTATAAGCTATGGCACGTTACTTGTTCACTGCAGCTACAAGCTCAGTTCCATCACACCTGAGGAATGATTAAGCGGATATTCTAAAGGCAGCAAGGAAGCATGAAGAGACTTAAAGAGGAGAAAGAGATTGCAAGAACTAGGATTATTTTGCTTTTAAATTTGAAGCACAGGGATTTAACTGGGCTGCTGAAGATTACGAAAAGACTAAAATAATATTAGGTTTACACTTCATCTAACCACAGGGTCACTTAAAGAAGATAACAAGGAGAATGAGGAGCAGCATTTCAAACAAATAAGAAAAACATTTGAAACACTGTGGAATCTATCACTACAGGAAGGCAAAAATCATTAAACAGCTGGTTGTAAAAATGGACTGGATCATCTTATGAACAGCTTTTTTTAGTAAGCCATGTAAAAATGCTGGTGAACACATCTTATGCTTTTATGGCACCAGCTGTTATCAAAGAAGAATTCTGCAGTCAGGGAAAAAGTTCATTTTTTGCTCCTCTTGCTGCAGCCTTGAACAACACTGCATCATCAGCCAAGCACGGTACCAAATGTTGTCTCTCTCTGAATTGGCATGCATTGGCCACTGCCTTAAAGGGTAGCGGGCTTGAAGACGTATTTGATCTGGTATGGCAAAGCTTATGTTCCTATAGCAATCCATGGCTGACAGCAGAATTCTTGTGTAATGAAGAGGGTGAGGTAATATTCTGGCCTTCTGTATTAAAAGGGGATGTTGTCTTATATCGGGGGCTGGATCAGGCCCACCGTGGGCTCCATTTCCCAGCAGCCCCTGCCCACATTGCTGTGGCCAGTTTCCATGGAGATCCCAGCAGTGGTGGGGCCATGACAGCATGGGGCCTGGGTTTCCATGGAGACTGGCCCCAGCAGCGCTGGCAGGGCATGCAGCTGAGCAGGGAGCTGCTCCAGGGCTGGGATCTTGGGGCAGTGACAGTGCAGTCCAGAGCCAGGGCAGAACTACAGTCTGCTGCCCACATGCCCCAGGCAGGGGCGTGCAGGCAGTGGATCATAATTCTGCCCTGGCTCTGGACCACACCGTCACAGCTGCAAAATCCCAGCCCCAGCCCAGCCACATGCCCTGCCAGAGTGGCTGGGGCTGGTCTCCAGGGAAACCCTGGCCCCGTACTGTCATGGCCCCTCCACTGCTGGGGTTTCCATGGAAACCAGCCACAGCAGTGTGGGCAGGGGCTGCTGGGAAATGGAGTCCATCTGCAGCCAGATCCACCATTTTGCCCACCCCCGTTTTATACGATGCAAAATGCCACTGGATACCATAAGCCATCACAAGAGAGCTCAGGAAAGCACCCATGAAGGCTAGATGCTATGCCTAGGCTTTGGCCGAACTATATGGAACTGCCACGGTAATCTATAGCTCAGCATGCCCTAGGGGCCTGATATCAATCTTCTGTCTGTAGGTAAAGAGGCATCTCACCAATATGTCCTAGAGCCTGGCCACCAACACTATAGTGTAGTAGGCAGGTCCTTGCAAAAGTGAAAAGGAAGAAATTAAAATGTGTTTCATACACAAACCTAAGAGAGACGGAAAGGCCACAGCATTCTGAAAGCTCCTATAAAGGACTGGCCAACAACTTAAATGCTTGTTTGGAAAGAAGGTGAAGGTCTCTTGGTATATACCCTACCTGGCCTCAGATAAGGCAAGAGAGGCCACAGTTAAATCCTGCCCTCTTTGCCACCCAAGATAAATGCCCAAAGAGCTGTACACAGCCAAGAAACAGACCAACAACTGTATTACAATCTATCAGAGGCTGGCTCCGCAGCTGCTTTATTAGATACGCATCAGCCATGTATCAGCTCCCAACAGCTCAGTATTTCTGAAAGCCAGGCCAATAGTGCTTTCCAACACAAAGCCAACCTCTTACATTCCACATAAAAGACTTGATGACCCTTTGGGTAAGAATAAGGGCTTGTCCAAGTGTTTTT